GCGATGGTGACCGTGCACCCTGTCCTTGCAGCGGCGCCGACACGGAGGGACACAGAGCGAGCAAGAGCGCGCCACATCCGGACCAAGAGGCCTGGCCCGTCCCCGTCCCCGCCAGCACGGGCACCGCGGGCACCGCGGCCGCGCGCCGGCCTCCTGCATGCACTGAGCGCCGCGCCATGCGCCCGCCCGCCCCGCGGCTTACGGGAGCTTCCAGGGAAACAAAGAATATCGGGAAGGCAGCACCGGCCGGGCTGCGTGTGCCGAGCCTCTCCTTGGCGTCCCGGCAGCTGCGGCGGCTCCCTCGGGAGCACCGAGGGACGGGGCTGGGGGCGCTTCCCGTGGGGGGCACCGAGGGCCCTAGGAAAGAGCCGAGCTCGCAGCGTGCCCACGGCCACCGCGTGGCACCCGGGAGGGAGCCCAGTGCCAGCACTCCCGCTTCCCATCCGTGTTGGTTCAGCACGGCTCCTTTCCCTAAAGGGTTGAGCAAGAGCAGGCCGGGGGCTGTGCAGAGCTCGGCCCGCTCATCACAGCAGTGCGCGGAGGGACCGGAGGCTCCGGGAAAGCAGGAATCCGGGGGCTCACCGCTGGGGAAACGCCCTTGGGATGGCTCAGGATTTGCCCCTCTCCATGCGTTAATGTTGGTGCAAAAGTCGACGCATTTGCACATGTCAGCGCAYGCGCGCCTGTGCACGTGTGTGCGCAATCCCACACGCATGTGCACACGCGTGGCCCGGCTGCAGCCGCAGCCGTGCACACAGGGTGGCCTCGGTGTGAGCCCCGCTGCAGAGACCTGGYGCGGAGCTGCCGCTCGGTGCATGCGCCGGGGGGCACCAGGGCACGGGGTGGGGTGCAAGGGGCCTCAGAGGGCTGTGCACCCAAAACCCACGCAGGGTGCTGTGCACGGAGATGGGTGCAGTGTGTGCTGCACCACACGCATCCATGCACACACACGCGGGGCTGGGCTGCGTTGCCCAGTGTCACATGCACATGGAGCTGCTGCACCCATGCACACGCATGCCGGCATGCAGGGGCTGCAGAGGCCATGCACCCGTGCCCGCAGCTCTGGGGTACAGGGGGTTCTCGACACGGCAAAGACAGGGCAGGGCACAGTGCAACCATGCAGCCCCTGCAGTGCAACGTGCAAATCCTGGTGCAAGTGTGCACCCCCTCCACCATGCAGCCATGCAGGACCCAGTGCAGCTGTGCAGCCCCCGCAGTGCAGTGTGCAAACCCTGGTGCAACTGCGCACAGACCCCCCCCCATGCAACCATGCAGGGCCCCATGCAGCCGCATGTGCCACTCTGCACCCCTGTCCAGTGCAACCGTGCTACCAGTGAGTGCAACCGTGCGGCCCTCCCAGTGCAACTGTGCAGCTCAGTGTGCAACTGTGTGACACCCCCCGGTGCAAGCACGACCGTGCAGCACCAAGTGCAATGATGCAGCCCCCCGCATTGGAACATATTCCCCCCATGCACGCACCGCAGCAGCCGCAGCAGCAGCACGGGGAGCAGGGAGCAGGGCAGAGCGGGGCGCTCTGCACCCCCATTTCTGCCCCCCTGGAGACGCTGGGGAGCAGAGGCCGGCGCCAGGGAGGCCGCGCGGCACCGACCGGGTTTGGCAGCACCACGCGGGGAGGAGGCGACAGCGCCGTAGGGCACCGAATGTCACCTGCAGCGGGGGCATGTGGGGACACATGGGGGCACGTGGGGACACGGGGACACGTGGGGGTCCTGCCCCCATAGGGCACCGAATGCCACCTGCAGCAGGGGGCACATGGGGACCTGCCCCCATAGGGCACTAATGCCACCTGCAACAGGGGCACATGGGGACATGGGGGACACGCGGGGACATSGGGACACGTGGGGGTCCTGCCCCCATAGGGCACCAAATGCCACCTGCAACAGGGGGCACGTGGGGACATGAGGGGACACATGGGGACATGGGGGTCCTGTCCCCATAGGGCACCAAATGCCACCCGTGGCGGGGTCACGTGGGGACAGGGGGGACACGTGGGGGTCCTGCCGCCATAGGGCACTAATGCCACCTGCAACAGGGGKCACGTGGGGACATGGGGGGACACGTGGGGACACGGGAGTCCTTCCCCCATAGGGCACTAATGCCACCCGCAGCGGGGGACACGCGGGGACACACAGCGGTCCTGCCCCCGGGCGCTGCAGGGGCGGCTGCGCGCGGCCCGGGGATGCTCCCTGCGGCGGGATGCGGCTTCCCGTGCCGCCGGGAACRCTGCACTAATTACCAGCATCATTAATTAATGCCTTATTTCACAGTGCCCCCRTGTGCGCTCGGAGCCTTCCAGCACTGCGCACGAACCGGGCTCCCCGCACCGGGAGCTCCGAGGCTCCGTTCGGCCCCGGGCGCAGCGGGGCTCACCGGGATGCACCAGGATGCACCGGGATGCAGTGCTCCCTTCCCACCCGGGATGCACCGGGATGCGGTGCTCCCTTCCCACTCGGGATGCACCGGGATGCGGTGCTCCCTTCCCACCCGGGATGCACCAGGATGCGGTGCTCTCTTCCCAGCCGGGATGCACCGGAATGCGGTGCTCTCTTCCCAGCCGGGATGCACCGGGATGCGGTGCTCCCTTCCCACCCGGGATGCACCGGGATGCTGTGTTCCCTTCTTAGCTGGGATGCATCAGGATGCTGCACTCCCTTCCCACTTATTATGCACCAGGATGCTGTGCTCCCTTCTTAGCCGGGATGCCTTGGGACGCTGCAATCCCTTCCACCTGTGATGCACTGGGATGCTGCGCTCCCTTCTGCCCGGGATACACCAGGATGCTGCCATCCCCTCTCAGGATGCACCAGGATGCTGCATTCGCTTCCGCCCCGGGATGCACTGGGATGCTGCACTCCCTTCCCGCCCAGGATTAACTGGGATGCACCAGGATACCGCGCTCCCTTCCCACCCCTGGCAGCGCCACTGTCCTGCAGCCAGGGACGTCCCTGTCACCCAGGGTGTCGACAGGCTCCGCGCTGCTCCGCGGGGCTGCGGGACGCGCTGCCTGTTCCCAGGGAAGCTCCTCTCTTCCCAGGGCACCTCCTCTGCATGCAGGATCCTCCGCCGCTGCTTTTCCCACTGCAGCATCCGCTAAGTCCCTCCCTGCCACCTCCATCCCACGGGACCAGTGGGTGGACCTGGTGCCCACTGAAACACCCCCCATTCCCGCTCCGTCCTCGGCAGGGCTGGGATGCGGCGGGAGCTGCTGCAGCACGGGCTGGAGCTGCTCCCTGTTTGCACCGTTCTCAGCACGGCGGCTGCTCCGGGGCTCCCAGCACGGCGGCGAGGTGCAGCCCTCGTCACGACACCGAGCGACGTCCCTCGCACTCGGCTCCGAGCCCTCCCGGTGCCTCCGTGCCCGCCTGTGAGCCCGCCAAGGGATTTCCCTTGGGAGCCCCTCTCAGGAGAGCCGCGCCCGGAGGCCGCTCGGGCCTCGCACGTCCCTGGAGACTCAGGCGGCCTCCAGGCCTTGGGGATGGGACCCCAAAAAACTCCATTTTATCAGGGTTTCAGCTGGGCAGGGCCTCCTGCTGCATTGCATGGGTTGGYGCTGCATGGCATGGACTGGTGCATCAGAGCATGGC